GAAGCAGCTACAGCAGACGCAGCAGCAGCAGCAGCAGCTGCAGCAGCAGAGAAACAGCAGCAGCAGCAGCAGCAGCTGCTGCAGCAGCAGAGAAACAGCAGCAGCATCACAAGCAACAGCAGAAGTAGCAGCAGCAGAAGCAGCGGAAATAACAGCAGCAGCAACAGAAATAGCAGCAGCAGCAGCAGCAGCAGCAGAAGTAGCAGCAGCAGAAGCAGGAAAAATAACAGCAGCAGCAGCAAGAGTTTATTGGGGATCTACCTCTAATAATATAGCGAGCTGCTGCTGCATGCATGCAAACAGAAATATAAATGAACCTAAACCCTAAACCCTAAACCCTAAACCCTAAACCTTAAACCCTAAACCCTAAACCCTAAACCCTAAACACTCTATTATGATATAACAAATGGACATCTCGCGTCCTCTAAATCAAAAAATGTTTAACCCTAAACCCTAAACCCTAAACCCTAAACCCTAAACCCTAAAAAAGGGTTTATTTGTATGATCGTTGTTGCGGTGTCTGTACACCCCACCGCGACCGCCATTGCCTGGTTAGGCATTATTTTGGGGTGTATTTACATTGAAATAAATATATATTTTTCTTTTTTTAAATATTTTATTTAATATTTTATTTATTTATTTATTTATTTCCCTTTATTTACTTCTCTTTCGCTGCTGTCGCTCCTATTGGGGCCCCCACCCACCCCGTAAAGAACAACAACAATCACCTGGGTGCCCCCAGCAGCAGCAGCAGCAGCAGCAGCAGCAGCAGCAGGGGGAGCGGTTGAAGCTGCATCTACATTTTCTCGGTTTTTAATTTATATTTAGTTTAGTTTATTGTTATAGACTGCACACACAAACAAACCCTAATACAAACAGAGCAGCGGGGCCCCCAAACCCTTCTGCTGGGGGGCCCCCCACTAACCACCACCACCTTATAGGGTTTAGGGGCCCCCGGGGGGCCCCCCCCTCTCCCCCCAGTACCCTGGGGGCCCCCCTGGGCCCCTTGCTGCTGAATATGCAGCAGCCAAAGCAGCACATCAGGGCACCGCCAGCAGCAGCAGCAGCAGCAGCAGCAACAGCAGCAA